ATTATGGTGGTCAAATAGTTCAAGCGAAAAGTATCATAGTGCACGAGCAGTACTCAAATGAAACAAACGACAATGATATTGCCCTTATTGAGACGGCCACGCCGATGACGCTCGGTCAAAAAAATGCCAATGCAGCAAAACTGCCAACAGAAGGCAATGATCCACAAGATGGAGATCTTTTTCTATCTGGCTGGGGTACTCTACATTCTGGTGACACGACTATTCCTGCTGATCTTCAGAAAGTAACTGTGCCTCTCACAAATAGAAGTGTCTGCGCCAAAGCCTACACTGGAATAGTGATCATAACAAAAAACATGTTTTGTGCTGGAAAACTGGGAGTTGGGGGCGTCGACAGTTGCCAAGGTTAGAGAACGAGCTTTTTCTGGCAAATTAAAACTCTCAATTTTTTGTTTCATAATCATCAGGGGACAGCGGGGGAGGTGCCTTGTTGAACAAAGAGCTAGTGGGCGTTGTCAGTTTTGGCGTCGGTTGCGGTCATCCCGATTATCCCGGCGTCTACATTCGTGTTGGCGAGTACATTGACTGGATTAAGGCTAAAATGCAGACAGCAAGAGACGGTGATGCGCCTCATCAAGTTTCTCTTCAGCGAACAAGTCATTTTTGTGGTGAGCAGCTGAAGTTATTTTGTGTTTTACCTAAATCTCACTAATTGTTTTTCTAGGCGGTTCAATCATCTCTGAGCGATGGATTCTAACCGCCGCTAGTTGCATGGATGAGTAAGTAGCAACCACAGACCAGTAAATAATTTCAATTAATTTAATTTTTTTATCAGAAACGACCTAAACAATCCAAGCAGCTTGAGCATTCGCTACAACACCCTAAACCTAAATTCTGGTGGTCAGGTAATCGCAGTGGAAAGAATAGTAGTGCACGAACAGTACTCAAGCCAGACGGGAGAGAATGACATTGCCCTCATTGAGACGGCCATGCCAATGACGCTTAATGATAAAAATGCTCATTCTGCAAAATTGCCTGCAAAAGGCAATGATCCTCTAAGTGGAAACATCTTTATTTCCGGTTGGGGCTTTCAGTCAGATGACAACACTAACCCTTTACCTGATATGATGAGGGCACATGTGCCGGTCACCAACCGAAGTGCCTGCGCCGAGGCTTACAAAAGTGTACTGAACATCACCGAGAACATGTTCTGCGCTGAAAAGATGGGCATCGGAGGCGTCGATAGTTGCTTTGATGAGAAACTCACCTTTCCCCCTTCAAAATCATCAGGCGAAAGGGGTGGAGGTGCCGTTAATCAGGACAGTGAGTTAGTAGGCGTAATCAGTTTTGGCAATTGCGGGTTGGATTCAAATTTACCAGGCGTCTACACGCGTGTTGGCGCCTATGTTGACTGGATTAACGCTAAATCGGGTGCAGTCACTTTGGTTTCAGTAAACCTCACATTGTTTTTGTCTCTTTTTGTGAGTGCATTTTGGAAATTGTGTTTTTAACTTTTTTTATTGTAAAATTACTAACTTATCAACTCTAGTATTACAAAAATTAAAAAATTGTTGTTGAGGGCAAACAAAAAGTTTTTAACATTTTACAAAAACTCAACAGATGTCAGCGAGGTGAGCTTTTAAAACTGTGCGAAAATACTTTAGCTGCCTACAGGCACTAAACACTCTTCAGCCACTGCTTTTTCGTCTTGATGGAGCGAATGATCGGCTGCGCAAAATCAGTCTGAATGCCGCACTTGTTGGTGTATTGGCTCTGGCCTCGGGGCAGGTAGAGGTAGCCCTTGGTGCCCCAGTTCTCACCTAAAAAGGGGAAAAACATTATTTAAATGAACCCTCAAAAACACTATTTTACCAAAGCTATTTTTGATCAGCCAGTACTGGGCCGTCCAGCCGACGAGAAGCGCCGCGTGGTTGGTCCGCTTTGAGCTGCACGGCCCTAGGTAGGGCGAGTTTTTGAGGTAGCGAAAGTCGCGGGCGGAGGCGTCCAGCGGCACACTGGCCGGCCCGTTGCGCAGCACCAGCCGCTGCATCTCCGCCTCCTTGAGCCAGCTGAAGAAGCAGGTGTCCTCCGCCTGGACGGCGTACGGGTAGCCGGTGTAGCACTGCGACTGGCTGGCGGAGCCGGTGTAGGGGGCGAGGCCGGCCAGCGGAGCTCCGTGCTTCACCATGAAGCGAATGGGGCTGGCCAGCGAGCCGCCCTTGCACCCGCCCGCCATGCAGTGCAGCGTCGCCTGGGCGCTGAGAATGGTCGGCTTTCGCTTCTCCCCCGTCCGCATCATGTACTGCGACTCGAGGGCGGCCGTGGCGGCCATGACGTAGCCGGCGTCGCACTGGAAGCCCTGGTTCACCACCGGCGAGACGAAGGTCTGCTGGACCCAGTTGAACTCACGCGGAATCGGTTTGTCGCCGGCGATTGGCTTAATGTTGCAGAAAGTGCGAAACTTGGGCGCCAGGGCGGAAAGGTTCCTCTCCTTAGAAAAATCTGGCTCGTGTCGGCCCAGCGTCTGAAAGATGCGCTCCTCGCCAGGGGCCAACTGCGGTGGTTCGGGTGAGGCGGATTGAGGGTGGCTGAAGAGTCGGGTTTTGGTCTCTTGGTGACTCTAAATAGTAGTGTAACTAATTGGATTAACATTTGTTTACTTTATATCATAGGTGTTTCTTACGTAGAAAGATATCTCCGAGAGGCCTAGCTTCATGGTCGGCTTCCCCTTGGCGTGCTGTTGGGCACACTTGAGCAGAAGCTCCGCCAGTTCGTGAAAATTCTCCACCACCACTTGAACTCGTTCTTCAATTTCGGCTTGTGAAGCATTTTTGAAAGAATTGTCAGTTTCTTTCTAAAAGTTAAAAATTTGTATTTGATTGTTTTGTAATAAAATTTTATCAATAGCACTTACAAAAAACTTCTCAATAATGCTGTTGACCTTATCCTGGAAAATGTTAACTGAAAGGTTTGCGGTGACATGTGTGTCGTAGCATGCATTAACTCCTTTTTTATATTTGTCAAATTTGCTTTGCAGTTCAGGATACATCTCTAGTAGAACTTTGTTCAGTTCATTACTCTTTGACTTGAGAACTGCTTCAAGTGGTTCTCCAGTTTCTTCAGATTGTGGTTGTTCCTCTTCTGGTTTCTCTTCGGGTTGTTCAACCACTGGATATGGCTCATCAATTGTTTCAACTGGTGGTTCTTCATCAGTGTTTGGTGGTTGATTTTCCTCGGGTTCTGGTAATGGCGGTTGATTATTGTCTGCACTATTTTCAAAGTCGATTTCCACATTGAGTACTCTTGGATGACTGTCTGACACTTCTTCTTGAGGACTATTCTTGACAATGTCAATTTCAATTGTAGCTTTAGCGGTGCAAAAAATGCACACAAACAAAATTATTGTTTTCATTTTTATGTTTTATTGTGTGAAAAACAAATATTTTTAATTTAGTGAAAAACTACAAATTAAATTGTTTAGAGCTCTTTTTGATGAATTACTAATTTAAATATGCACAAAAGCAAACCAATTAAAAAATATTTTTCAGCTCAAGGTCAACCAAGTAGAGCAACAAAAATTATCTTTCTCAGTCATTAATTTAATAAACTAAAAAGATTTTAATTTCTGGTTTTGGTTTCTACACACATTGCCCATCAATGTCACATTTTGCAATAGAGCTAGTTTTCAACACGTAGACAACAAATATTAAAAACCCCAAAAACAAATCTAATGCAAAACCCACTTTATACAAGTTGATTGTAAAATTAGTTGTTTTTAGTTTTTGGAAGCAATCACAATCATTTACTGGTATTTCCCAAAGTTTATCCTATTTTCATTTAGATTGATGTCACAAAATTATTTTTCCTTATAACTTATTTTTTATTTTTACTCAAGCATAACGGTTAAAAAGGCGTGCATAAAAATTAAACGTAATACACAAAAAGTAACAATAAATGTTTTTATACGAGCTACTTTAGTAAAAACAAAACCAAATCAAAAGTGATAGCGCGTGAAATGCACTTGAAGTGCTGAGACAGTGGCAAGAGAGTGAAAATTGAAATCCACGCCGTAATGCATACATACCAATGAGTTTATTACTCTAAATTGCAGGTGCTTTGTGGCCATATTTTATCGCGCGTGGCAATCGATTTTATCAGTGTAGTGTGCCAAAAGGGGAACTGACATTGAGAGAAAAAGAAAGAGAGAGAAAGAGAGAGAAAGCTCAGAGTTCATGTCTCCTCTGGTGTGATGTGTGGCCAACACTTACCTTTTCTCTACGGCATTACCATATCCGCATATTTAATAAGTAGGACTTGCTATTAATTTGATGCTCAGTTGCAGTCAGTGTTCACAAGTTATATAATTACAACGGTGTGTGCTAATAATTAGTATTGATCATTTAGTAAAACTGTCAAATAATTTGTTTCTATGCCTAAAATTGTTTTTGAGTTGTGTTGGTTTTTAGTTGTCATAGTTAACCTTGAAATTCATTGCTGTACTGTTTGTAAAAAATAAAAAAAAATTTGAAAAAATATATTAATTTTAATTACAAAAAATCTGGTGCACAAACAAAAAACTTTTACAAAATTGCATTACCATAAAGATATTACGCAAAAACTAGTGGTTGCAAACAATTAACTTTCTAGATAATGAAAATGACATTGATGCCTCAAAGCAGCAAAAAAATATTCATTTACACAAAAATTCCCAATAAAGCTATTGTTTGACACGTTGATTACAAAAAAGTAAAAATTAAGAATACGATATTGCCGCTGCTGTTGTCTACTGACAAAACGTCAACAGGTGTTGCAAATGAGTCAAACTATCCAATTGAGTTCACTGGATTTCTGTTTTTTTAAATGCTCACTAACAACAAACTGCGTGTTTTTTTGGATAGCGATAATGATAGCAGATATTGCCGTTCATGCTATTACAGAAAAATTGAACGCTCGTGTAAGTCTCCTCTACTGACATCAAGAAACTATTATTTGTTTGATGAACGGCTTTTTGGATGTGCAATGTTTGATGTTTATCAAAAAACGACAATTTTTTAAAGTTTTGATTAATTTGAGTAATAGAGAGTGATGATACTGAAACCAAAGTAAGATAAAGTTTTAAAAAAGTTAAAATTAAATAAAATAAAACAAAAAAGTTTGTTTTATGTTTGCCTAAAATGTTTAAAATGGGCAAGTCTTTTATTAGTCTATTTTGTCAATTAAATTTTAAATGCTTGCTTATTCAAAAATTAATTTTGCACAAATGTAGTCTAAAGTGACAAGTTTGATTAACCTTAAACTTTAACCAGGGCTGCTCACCTGTTGCAATATAAAAATTAAAGTTAACAAACATAAAACTTAATTAAACATAATACACAAAAACATTAAACAAACAAAGAAAACGCACTTTCTTTGCTCTTTGATGCTGCAACGTGTACTGAAAGTAGACTTAATTGAGGAAGGAATTGTCAGGCAGGCTTTTTACTCAAGCAGGCAGTTCAAAAGCGCCTGCAACTAAAGTTGCATCTGCATCACTTTTGCTTACAGCTTTTGATGCACTAAAACATAGCTGCAATTTTTGAACGAGTTAAATGTGGAACAAAAAAAAGCACATTGACTTTCTCTCCCATGCACTAATGTAACCAGAAAGAAAAAGAGAGATAGAAATAACAGCGCTGACAGTGGCCACACTGTTCAACATTGTCCGGTGCAAAGTGATTAGCGAATGGAGCTAAAAGAATGAGAGAAGGAGAAGGCAAAAACAAGATGATTAGAGACACATACTCACACTCACACACTAAAGTTGACCTTTGCCTGATTTTGCCTGTCTACTTGGGCTAGCCATTAGTTAGTGCAAATTGTGTTTTCTTTGAGTTAAGCTTAAAGTGCTTAGCTGTTTACTTCTTTATTTTTTTCAGTGATTTAGAAATCAATCGATGTTGCGAATTAATGCCAAAATATGAAAAGACCAATTTTTTTTCTTTTTTTACTCATTGACTAATTAGGTCTTTTCAAAAAGAGGATCAAATCAGCGCAGTCATTGCTGCATTTGTGTGTTTATGCTTTGCTTACATTGCACTCATTCAGTCTGTCAATGCGTGATTTAATTACCCTAGTATACGTAGCACATTCACGTTTACATTTCTTCATGTGCTTCCAATTAACAGGCATCGTTTATTTATTATTTGCCCATTAAGAGCAGCTACTACTGCTAATTATACTTACCAGTGTAGTTACTTTTACTTTTACGTTGATGATTATGAATTGCTCATTGATCAATATTTGTCGCCTAAGGTAAAAATGGTGAGAAAATTATTTGGTTTTTTGATAAAAATATTTGCTGGAAAGGATAGTACTGACCAGTTTTCCTTCTTTCTCATTTTAATCTTAATGATCATTGAAATAAAAACATTTAAATTGGTTAACTACAATTTTTTTTCTGGGTGCATTAAGTTCAGTTTTCCTTGAAACTACATTTACAAAATATAATTAGTCAATTACTAATTTTTCACAAAAAACACATTAAGCACCTTTTTCAAATTTTTGACTTGCAAAAAACTACAAGGAAGTTTTAATTGCAAGGTTCTTATAACTTTAAAGCATGTTTGTGTTCATAAAATTGCATTGCAATTTAGATGCATTGCAGGTGCATTTCTGTTGCTGCACAAGCTCACTCACTCTATGACCTGATCTGATCAATTGATTATAGATTATCTACTTTATTGTGTGGTTTTACTGCTTTTGTGTAACACCACAAAGCAAAAATCATCATCATCAGTAGCCCTATCAAAAACATCATCATCATCATTTGAGTTTTTCAAAAAATTCATGTTCAATTGATTCAATAACGGTAAAATCAACTAGAATCAATTTAATTTACGCACGCACAGTTTTCATCTAACATGACATTTACTGATCTTTTTATAATCTTTTCAATTTATTTTTTATTGTTGGACACTTCATTGCCAAAAGTGTCATTTAAAAAAATAAAATTGAAAATAAAAAATTGCGCACACAAAACTTTATTGAAAACAAGAAATTTATTGATTAGACAAAAAATGCTACTGTTAATGCAAAAAAAAATTTTATTAACAATTTAAAAAAACATTAATTTTTATCATCTAAAAATAGTTTAGAGTAGCGGCCACCAGGCCGCTGGTGACGTGGCTTTGCTCACGCGAAGTTTGAAACCTTTGTAAATGCTTTATAAGCTGCTCCCTCTACCATTTAAAGTCAGTCTGGACTACGTCATGCTTGTAAATCTCTCCGCGCGCCGCGTCACCAAACCGCTTCTTTAGACATTAGTTTTTGATAAAAGAAGATTTTTTCAAGATCAAGACTATTGCAAAAATTGTTTTTGATTAGATTTTACAAAAAAATTTTTTAATAAAATTTCTAAACACTTTTCCTATTTATTTAAAAAATTTCCTTGTTAAGCAGCAGCAGCGGCAGCAATTGAGTGCCCTTCATTTTCGCACATTTTTCCCAAAGTTCTCTAACTTTCCCCTCATATTCTGTACCACAACTATTACTGCCACTATTAGTTTCTCCCGTCATCATCACACCGTATTTCCCGGCATAAATCTTAAACTGTGGTAATGGAGATGCCGCTCTGCTTGGGCATGGTTTAGTGCATCAATGCACTCGGTGCACTGTAACTTCTGTTCAGCACTACTCACACAGCACAGAAACTCCTTTAGTTGAACGCCCGTTGCACCTTCTCCTTCTCACTTTCTCCACTGTGAGCTCCTTTTTGTCTCTTCGTCAGAGGCAGCACTAACGCTAATTGGCTTTATTTTGCAAGAATGTCCATCCTCCCTCTTCCTCGCTCTCTTTTTCTCTTTTGCTCTTTCCTTTAGTACGGCTGCTGTGGTTGATGCTGCTCCAAGACTTTCTCTTTCTTTTTTCTGCTTGCAACCCGCTGTCGTCCCTTGCTGCCTCTGCCCGCCTACCAAACTATGTCAGACTCTCTTTCTGTTGTTGTTGTTGTTTTTATTAGTTTTTGTTTCATTTTTTGTTGTTGATAGACACGGAGTTACCTGCCCACTACCACCACCACCACCGCTGCCACTAGGTCTACTGCACACACACACACACACACACACACACACACACACACACACACACACACACACACACACACACACANCACTCTCACTTTCATTGCCTGCCATGCCTGAGCATCTCTAGGAAAAGCAGCAGCAGCAATTTTTCCATCTTTCTAACCTTTTTGTCTACAACACCTTGTCTTTCCGAACGATTGAATTTGACGTCAGGTGTAATAGATTGCCGGCGACTGCCCACTACCACCACCACTACCACAAATGACACTACTGCCCTAGACATATATAAACCTCGATCAATTCACT